TGCAGATTGGTACAGCCACTATTGTAAACAGTGTGGAGTTGCCTCAAAAAAATTAAAAATAGAACTGCCATTTGACCCACTTCTAGGAATATATCTTAAGAATCCTATTGTAAAACACCAATCCGAAAGAATATATGCACCCCTGTATTCATAGCAGTGTTATTTATAATAGCTAAGATCTGGAAAAAGCCCGAGTGCCCATCAGTAGATGAATGGATAAAACAAAAAACAGACAAACAAAAATACACACTGTGATGCATTTACACAATAGAATACTATGCAGCTGTGAAAAGGGATATCTAACCCTTTGAGACAGCATGAAAGTACCTGGAGAGTATTATGCTAAGTGAAACAAGCCAGTCACAGAAAGACAAGTACCATATGATCTCACTTTTATGTGGAATCTAAAGAACAGAATAAACTGGGGGGGGGGGGGGGGGGGGGGGGAGGGCGAGGGAGAGGGGAAGAAGATCCAGGGACACAGAAGGATGCAACAGACAGGATTCTTAGAGGGAAGGGGTGAAGGCAAGAAAAGATCAACCAAAGCACTTGTCTATAATAATGGGGCAAAAGCCTGGTAAAGGGATGGACGCAGGGAGGAGGGGCTCAGTGGAGGGAAAGAGGACATCTGCAGTACTTTAAACAATAAAGATCAGTTTTTAAAAAATGTAATATGTTCAAAGATACTAATTGCTCTAGAGAAAAATGAGGCAGGGCAGGAAAAATGGAGTGCTGGATCTGTGGGTGGGGTTGTAATATTACATCGGCTTTGCAGGAATATCCAAGCAAGGGCTGGTGAAGGCTTGGACCAGAGTAACAGTGACCGAGATGGTAAAAGGTAGTTGGAATCTGGAGTAAGTTTCAGCAAGTCCTGAAGAAGGTCAGGGGTTGGGCCACATGGATATCAATAAGAGGGGAATTCCAGACAAGGAACTAGAAATGCAAAGCCCTGAGGAAGGGATGAGCCCATTGTTCGAGAAGTTCCAGCATGGCTGGAGCAAAGCAAGAGTGAAGAAGGCTATGCCGCTGTTACTGGAGTTGTGGGGGGCGTGCCAAGTCTGAAGGGCCTTGTGAGGTTTTTGTACAGATTTTGACTTTTCCTCTAAATGAGAAATGGTTTTGAGCAAAAGAGAAACTCGGTAATTTATAATTCTGGCTGCTCAGTTGAGACTTACTGTATGAGTCAATGGTAGAAGCAAGGAGACCAATTATGAGGCTACTGCAATAATAATTAGTTGAAAGATAATGACATGGACCAGGGTGGATAGCAATGGAGATGAGTCAGAAATGATTACCATCTGGATACATTTTAGATAATTTGTTGCTTTTAAATAAATGTGTATCCTAGATTTTCCCTATTCCTCTTAAAAGATAGAGCCTCAGAGTCTAGTAAGGGGCCCAAATGATGCTTGTTACAGCAAACGATTACCTTTCTGGCTCTTGAATACTACAAGTTCAGTGTATTTTTTTTTTTAAGAATGACGATATTGTTCATTTGTTCCACTTCTGAGTCACCATAACTTCCCACAGTCTTCACTTTCCCATTTTTCTGCACTTGTGTGTTGCTGATCATTTGCCATTGAGTATCTTGACCCCAATCATCAGTGGTCACTACTGCACTGCTGTTGCTTAGAAAACGCTTGTTCTTCTCTTTTATTCCATAGCCGGGAGAACATCACTGCGGCAGCCAGTGAGAGTGGAGGTAAAAACATGATATTGCTAATGTTACAAAGGAGCCCAAGGTTCAAAATCAGTCAGGCTGAGAACTCCTCTTTTGATTCTTGTCTTTCCTCTTCCAACTCCCTGAACAAGGCAAAGGAAAATTTCCCTTTTCAACCTCCACATAAATCTCCTAAGAGGCATTTTACGCCTTCTTTGCCTCAACTATATCCCTAAGCATCATGCAGGTGTTATGAAAAAGTGCAGAGTTGCAAAAGAAATCTAGTGGTTCTTTCCCCCAAAACCAAATGCACCTAACTCTAAATTCTGGTATCCACAGAAATGTTTCTGTTATATATGTTTCACAGTGGGGGATTTAAGAATAGTTATGCACTCATTTTTCATTCATTTATTCAGCAACTATTGAGTATTTTTTTTGTTTTTGTTTGCTTATGTTCCAGGCACTGTTCTGCATACCGGGAGATAAGAGTGAACAAAACAAAGCCCCCTTTTCTAATGGAATTCAACTTATAAGGCGGGAGACAGAACAAAACACAAGTAAGCACATGTGTAATATATCGGTTAAGATAATGCTGTTGAGAAAAATAACTTGGAGGATGAAAAAGGTAACACTGGGATGGTAGCAAGTTAGTATTAATATTGTAAAAATGATGATCAGAGAGTGTGTTTCTGATAACACATTTGTGCAGAAAAATGCAGGAAGCAAGAGTGTGACCCAATCCCACATCTGGTTGGAAAATGACCCTTGCTTGCTGTTAGTCCTTAGGTAGTTTTCTTCTCTATACATATACTTCCTAAGGGACTCCATTCTGTCCTGTGGCTTTAACTACTTCCTATACCATAATCATTCCCAAATGTATGTCTTCAGGCCAGACCTTTCAACGCTGGCCTAATACATCCAGCTGTTAATGGAGCCCTTCCACCTGGACGGCTGACATCTCAGGATTAACATGTCTCTGGAGAAACTCTTCCCCACTCCCTCCCCACAGCTGCTCCTCTGTAGCTTCCCTTTCCCTTTAGGAAATGCAGTTCCATCCTTTCTGATTTTTAAGTCAGAAATCTTGGTGTCATCTCCCTGTCTCAAACTCCACATCGATCCATCAGGTAGATCATGTGTTCCTTAAATCGGGGAAGACTGGAGAAGGAAGAATTTGGGAAACTTGGATGAAGAAATTGAGGTAAAATAGAAAGCAGGGCAGAAGCAGAAGTATCTGCAAGGTGGTCTCTGATGATATGAAGAAAGCTGAGGCTGGGGAACTCAGTTGAAATCACATCAAAGTCAGATTCCTCTAACAGAGCTGCACTTCGGAGTTGTCCGATACATTTGGATATGTCTTAAAAATGAGTTGGTAGCACGAAGGCTGTGGCACCATGGATTGGACAGAGACATTAGGTACCCTTGGGAATTTTTTCCATAAGTTCATCTAGAGCATTTTCTACTCCCTGCCTCTGGAAACATTGTGGGGCCTGAGTGGGAACAGCAAAATGCAGAGTCATAATTTTTAGGAAGCAGTGAACATTTGAACCATCGTTTTTAAAGGAAAACTCATCCTCTCTGTGGGCCCATCTGTGATAAAGCAAAAATACTTCACTGAAACACCAGGAAAGGGAGATTCTGGTCATTTTCTAGGGACAAGAGGTGGTTAATAATTGTCTTGACCAAATTAATTGGAACAAGAACAATGAAAAGGAAGTGAGTAGTTGCTGTCCTTCTATTTTAATTTGGTGTACATTTCCCAGTATTCAAATTCCCGGTACAGAGGGTGCTTGTTGCTTTGCTGCACTGAGTTCCTAGAAATCACACACTTATCCCACTGAAGGATTGGAACTGTGTGGAATTTGGGGATTGCATTCTCCACCCAAGGGATTAGCACCAGACCAAAAAAAATAAAAATAAAAATTGGTGTAATCAAGAGTACAGCATAAAGGCCCCCTGTGGCTGCGGTAAAATTCCGTTTTTCTAGAAGAGTAAGTCCCATACTAGTAATTCCTTTACAGAGAGGGCGGAGTCCTTTCTAACCTTTAAAGAAATCTTTCCTCAGACTGGACTTCTCTCCCAGCACCAGATTTTAGGCTAGATTGTGCAAATCGCAAATATGCCCTGAATTCAGTCCTCAGATAGCAAGCTGCACAAATAGATGTTTTTACCAATGGATGATAGGCTGAATTTCCAACAAAGGAAGTTGTTAGAGATGATAAATTTATCTCATGAAGTCGAATGGGCTTGGGCATTGGCACCTGTCATACCTGAGTGGGAAGTTTTGCTGCGTCATTCACAGACTTTGTAACCTTGGAGAAGTTACTTAGTCTCTCTTTGCACCTTCCCTTCACTGTAGAGCCAAGATAATACCTACCTCATGGTTTTATCATGGAAGTTAAAAAGAAAGCTCAACAGATAACATGTTTAATGCCGGGCATTTAAGAGGCACAATAATATTAAATGTCCATGGTTATACTTTTCCTTTCCCATTTAACACAAATGTTTCTTTCAAAGTTTGTTTCTTGTGTTTTTATAAATAACTAGAGTCCCATTGCACGATATTCATGCAAGAATAGGGCTTCCTTCCTCTGGCTTCACTCCAGGCCGCCCGGGAGCCTGTAAGTCCTCGCTCCTGGCTGGAGCACCACTCCTGGAGCTCCTCCTCTGCTCCCTCTCCCCTCTCATAGCAGGGGTCCTGTCCCTCCAGGCTGCTCCATGCCTGCATATGTAAATTAACCCATCATCTTTGTCAGGTTAATTTGCATACTCCTGATTGGCTGTGGGCATAGCGGAAGTATGGCCAATTTACATGTTTGTCTATTATTAGTTAAGATTATTTTTTAGTGTGATGCCTCAAGTTAGAACTAGAGGCTGCAAACACCAAGGAATTCTTACTCTTAATAGTAAACTCTATTCCACACTTATCAGGTTTCATTATTAGCTTTATTGATAGTATATTGAGTGCTACTTTCCTACCCAGTACTGTAATAAGTGATTACCACAATTATCTCTTACATAGTTTACAACCCTGTGAAAAAAGCTATACCCTTTCCCCCCTTTTAAATATGAAGAAAGAGAAGGATTTAGGGACCTGCTCATGGTCACCCAGCGTACAAATGGCAGAGCCAGGATTCAGAATGAGACACTTGGCCTTCAGTGCTGTGCCCTCAACCGCTATAATGCTACATTCATATGAATATCTGGTTTGGTCTTAATTACGAGAGATTATCACCTCCAAAAAAAGTAGAGATTGAGCATAGACATTATAACCTATTCCTTATGTTTATTTGTTTTTCTTTTGCCTTTTCTTGTTACTAAAGCCAGAGCTCTAGAATGAGTGGAAGTTCTGTACCATTTGGGGGAAAGTGAGTGGGTAGAAATAATACAAGAACTGAACATTTTAAATCATTTATGATCACATGTCCCTGAAGAAAGTCTAATTTGATCACTGCAGACACTTTGTTCCCCCCTACTTAATAATGTGAGTTAAGGAAAAGAAAGATACAGGGTATTTATTAGTTCAGCTTAATCCTTATTACTGTGCTTCTCCACTCTTGGATATTTTTTTTCTTTAATCCGTTTATATGTGTGTGTTTTTCCTGTCACCATGGTAAAGCTCATTCCATGGTGTGAGAGACCTTATGCTGAAAGAAGTTTTTTTAAAATGTCAAGTCTCACATTTTCATTTCCACATTTTATCTTGGTGTTACTAGGGCAACCCAAATAATTTCATTTTTTCTTTGAAGTCGATACCTTTAAAGCTCTTATACCCTCCTGCTGACTCACTCATGTTCTTATGATTTTTTTTCTCATTTAATTCCAGTAACTACTTTACACAGATGCTTTCTGCTTTTCTATAGTCATAATAGCTGATGTACTGTTGGTATATATTTACATATTTGGGGAGATTATAAATCCCACTGAGGATTTAAAAAGTGCTGTGGACCTTCTCACCAGGGGGGGGAAAAAGTTTAAGAAGTAATGGATAAACAAACAATGGGGGAAGAGATTGTCTTTTCAATAAATGGTGTTGGGAAAACTGGACAGCCACATGCAAAAGAATGAAATGGGACCACTATCTTACCATACACAAAAATTAAGTCAAAATGAGTTAAAGAGGAATTGAAGACCTGAAAACTCCTAGAAGTTTTCATAAAACTCCTAGAAGAAAACATAAGGTGTCAGATTCTTGACATCAGTCTTAACAGTATTTTTTGCATTTAACACCAAATCAAAGGCTTACAAGACCAAAAAGAAATAAGTGGGACTACAGCAAACTGAAAAGCTTCTGTGCAGCAAAGCCATTAGCAAGAAGAAAAGGCAACCTATGGAATGGGGAAAATATCTATAAATAATATATCTGCTAAGGGGTTAATATTCAAAAAAATATAAAGAACTCATATAACTTAATAGAAAAAAAAAACTAATCTGCTTTCAAAAACAGGCAGAGGACCTACATAGACATTTTTCAAAAGAAGACATACAAATAGACAACAAGTGCATGAAGAGGTGCTCAGCATCGCTAATGAGGGAAATGCAAATCAAAACCACAAGGAAATACCACCTTATACCTGTTAGAATATTTATTATATATATATAAAAGAAATAGTAAGTGTTGGGGAGGATGTGGAGAAAAGGTTGGTGGGTGTGTATGTTGGTTCAGCCACTATGGAAAACAGCATGGAGGTTCCTCAAAAGACTAAAACTACCATATGATCCAGAAATTCTGCTTCTGTGTATTTATCCAAAGGAAACGAAAACATTAACTTAAAAAGATACATGCACCCCCTTGTTCATTGCAGCTTTATTACAGTAGCCAAGACATGGAAACAACCTGAGTGTTTATCAATAGATAACACAAATGTATAAATATGTATACATACTATATATATATATATATATATATATATATATATATATATATATATATAATTTAGCCATAAAAGGACAGAAATCCTACTATTTGCAACAACATGGATCGACCTTATGCAAAATGGAAACTTTGTGGTAAGCGAAATAAGTGAGACAAAGAAAGATAAATACTATGTGATTTCATGTATATGTGGACCCTAAGAATAATTCTTTTAAAAACTGAATTCATAGATATAGAGATCAGACTGGTAGTTACCAGAGGCAGGAAGCAGGTGTGAAATGGGTAAAGTGATCAAAAGGTACAAGTTTCCATTTTTAAGATAAATAAATCCCAGAGATATAATGTTCAGCATGGTGACTATAGTTAAATGTACTATATTTCAAAGTTGCTAAGAGAGTAGATTTTAAAAGTTCTCATGATCATAAGAAAAACAGATTTAACTATGTATTGTGATGGATGTTAACTAAACTTATTGTGGTAATCACTTCACAATATATACATATATATCAAATCATTATTATTAGTATATACCTAAAACTAATGCAGTATTGTATGTCAATTAAAAAATAAATAATGGGCCAAGACCGGTTTGGCTCAATGGATAGAGCGTCGGCTTGGGGACTGAAGGGTCCCAGGTTCGATTCCGATCAAGGGCATGTGCCTTGGTTGCGGGCATATCCACAGTAGGGGGTGTGCAAGAGGCAACTGATCCATGACTGTCTCTCATCGATGTTTCTAACTCTCTATCTCTCTCCCTTCCTCTCTGTACAAAATCAATAAAAATATATTTAAAAAATAAATAAATAAATAAATAAATAAATAAATAAATAAATAATGGATGGAAAATTTAATAAATAGCATATCTAATAGTACGTCTTTTAAAAAAATATTTTTATTGATTTCAGAGAGGATGGGAGAGGGAGAGAGAGAGAGAGAAACATCAGTGATGAGGAAGAATCATTGACCATGCTGTCTCCTGCATGGCCCCTGCTCAGGATCAAGCCCTCACTCCAGACATGTGCTCCAGTGGGGTATGACCTCCTGGTTCATAGGTCGACACTCATCCACTGAGCCACGCTGGCCAGGCTAATAGTACCTGTTATTATCCAATAAGGTTTGAATAGCAAGTTATTAGAATTTATATAGCAGAGGATTTATATAAAAAAATATCTTACCCCAAACTATTCTGTTTCTAAGTTCAAACTGTAAAAGTTAATATAGCTGTTTGTTTTCATTTTTATTTCATCCCATGCAATCTCCAGCTAGGTTTTATATCTCTGACAAACTTCCTGTAGGGGTTAAATGGCCATTTGACGTGTGTCTTTTTTAATGCTGGTCTGGCTCACACAAACCCTTGGGGTTTGAATCCGTACAAAGAGCTGAGGAGCAAAGAAAAGGGATAACAGGTTTTGAGTCTCCTTGTTTACAGATCTGTTCCCCACATATTTGACTACAGCTTCTTATTTATATTTTATCTCTAATACTTGACGCATAGTAGTAATTGGATAACAAATGATGAAAGGAGGGAGGAAGGAAAGGGGGAGGACAGAAGGAAGAAATAAAAGGAAGAAAAAAGGATGTATCAAAGGGAACAAAGAAGAAAAGTTAAAAATAGCCCAAAGGAGACGATCCTCCAACCAGAGACTGACTATCCTCAGAAGTCTGTTCCTAAGCAGGAACTGGAACATAAGTGTGCTATCTGCCCTGCAGGCGGGATTTCTTTTGGGCGGATGCAGGGAGAGCGGCAGTGTCTGGCCCTCATCGTTGCCACTTGTGTTCAATCCCAGGAAATTACTGAGCAGCCCCCTCCCTGGTGTGACTGGCCCACTGAGGTTCTAGAGCAGTGGTTCTCAACCTTTCTAATGCTGAGGAACTTTAATACAGTTCCTCATGTTGTGGTGACCCCAACCATAAAATTATTTTCGTTGCTACTTTCATAACTGTAATTTTGCTACTGTTATGAACCGTCATGTAAATATCTGTGTTTTCCGATGGTCTTAGGCGACCCTGCTAGCCGGTGAGAACTGCTGCTGTAGAGCCTAAGACCATCGGAAAACTGTTTTTTTCCTAAGACCAGCAGGAAAAACTGTTTCGGTCTACAGGCTTCTACAAGATTGCTTAAGGGTAAATTTGCATAAATGTCTTAGATAAAGACTCTTGGGGAGTCTTGGTGGCTTTTTGCCATTTTAGTCTGAGAACATGTAACTTGCTGCTCCCTTGGTCTCACGGAATCGGGACCAGCTCAGGCTACCCTGTGTCTCCAGAGACAGAAAATACAAGGTCCACCCTCATTCAAAATAAACAAAAACAAAATATTTATAGTGAGCGATGGAGGGCAAAATGATACATCTCAGAAGGGGGACAAAAAAACCATTTCACTGCAGACCTTTCATCCTTGCCCGGAATGTTCTCCTGGCCCTGGCCTCCGCCCCTAGGTAGCCATTCCCACCTGTACTTCATGTTTCCCTGCAGCATCACTTCTAACCCCCAGTAGCTCAGGCGCCTCAGAGTACTAACTACCAGAGTATCCTAAACTCCCGCTTCCTCACACCTATCACACAATTTTGATTAAACGGTTTTGTGTAAGCATTTACTACCTGTCTTTCCAACGGAATGTGAGGTCCATAGGACAGTGGTTATGTCTCTCTTACTCACTGTATATCCACATTACTGAGCTTAATACCTTGCAGATGAAAGCTACTCTGGTACTCAGAGAAAGAATGGATAATGCTTCCCGGCACTGCAGTAGGTGCTAGGGAGATAAGGATTTTCACAGTCATTCACTGCTTTTATCCTTGGGAAACATTGTGCTCCTGGAGTAGCAAATTTCCAATGATACTTCATCCCTCTCTCAGCCTCCAGAAGTAGCCCTGGGTGAATTAAGGTCGAATGGCTCTCTCCATCTCATTTCCCCAAACCTCACTTCTTTCCCACAAGAATCCTGACACTGACCCCGTTTGTAACGAAGGACACTTGAGTAGAAGTGAACCGACATGTCTTCCCAATTTCTATTTCTCTGTTGAGTGGAAATATATTTTGTTCTTAAACAATTTTAATTTATGTCTGTGTAACCATCTTTTAGGCCCCTAAAACATTGGTCTGTTAAGTTTTTAACATGGAAAAAAAAGTTTTTGACATGGGTCATCTGAAAAATAGTATCAACATTAAACAACAACCAAAAACAAACAAATCCCACAGTTGTTCCATAAACCTTCTCTCTTCCCTCGACCCTGTGCCACCCAAAAGATCATCCACTCATTCCGAAATCCCACTTCCGAACTTCCAACAAATGTTTTGAAATGTTTGACTTTTAAAAATAAGTTTCTTTTTGCTTCTTTCTTAGTTTTTTCTACTAAAGCTAACATTTTAAGTAAATTTCTGTGATCTTGGCTACACAATTTTTTTTTTTTACTTTTTAGGATTTGTGATCAATACTTAAAACCTCCCAATTTAACAATTCATGAACTAGTTTTGCTCCTTTTATGCATCCCAATATCCACTTTTTCATCCAATTGATGAAGTTACTGGACAAAACCACTTCTGAAACTGTCT